TTTATTGAACTCGAAATATATCTAAATTTAATCGGAGATTTATGGAGTTTAGGAATAGCATACAGAAAAGTAATTCTACAAAAGAAGTTGACTTAGAATAAAGATTATTAATTATTAATTACTGTATCTTTGGATTGGTTGATCTGTTTAAATGTTTGTGTACTATTGATTTCATTTACCATAATTGACGTATACAACTTTTTACAAATAAATCCAAAATTACAATTAGCTTTATTAATTGGAATTATCACATATGTTTCTTCTTATTCTTGAATTCTTACTTTTTTAACTGATGAAACAATAAATCTGTATGATATTTCTTTAATTTTATACAGGATAATTTAAATCTTATTATTTTAAGTACATAAAGTTCCATTCCAAAAATCATCTAGGTGGAAAGATGAAATGTAGTTAAATTTCAAAATATATTAATCAATATTGTTTTCAATGGATTTTAGAATATTTTGCTAATTACATTTTGTGGCATTTCTGTATTTAAATCATTTTAAGTATTTCACATAATAGTTCATCTTTTATACTTTCTAAGTTACCAGTAATAATGTGTTTATGAAAGCATCAATAAACTATTTTCACACTCACAAGGTAAATTATTAACTTCATCTATTTTTAAATTAGTTAAAAGACATAATTGTATAATAGTGGACCGATTGGAACTTCGTATTTATAACTAACTGTAGGCTTTAGGTTTTTACAAGGAAAAATATTATTTTTATAGATTGATGAATAATCTTAAAAATCTGCAAGTCATTAAATACTTTATATTTAAAATTAATTACCAAATATAACGTCTTAATTTGCGGTTTCTCTTTTTCAAAGCTTGATAAATCATTAACTTTTAAACGATATTTTATAATGTCTAAAAGTAAATGTTTTGCATGATCATTTCAAAAATCAAAAATTTTAATTACATTGATTAATGCTCTTATTTTAGTAAAATGAAGTTGATAAATCTTTTAAAAAAATAAGTTACGTACATTAATACTAGAATAAAAAATATTATCCAAATTATTACAAAATTCTAAAAAATCAACCTATTTTAATTAATTTATTTTTTACCCCTTACTTTCTTTTATGAAAAAGGCTATCTATAAATAAAAAATTAGCGATACAGCAATAATTACTCAAATTCAAAGCAGTTTATTAATTAAAATCTTGGTTTAATCCAGAAGGATATAATGTTCTTAATTTCAAAATATAGAGATTCTCCCGTTGAAGCCAATTGATTTCTTCATTGACAATTTCTGATATAGTTATCTTACTAAAAGTAAAAGGATGAACTCTAAAATGCTTTAATTCTATGGAATTCATTAAATTGGTTTTAACTTGCTAATGTTATAAAATGTAATAGCAAACGATGCCTCACATATCCTGCTCTAAGCACTTTTCATCCTATTACTCATACAAAATCATTCTGCAAAATAAATACTGTAGTTTATCTATTAACTTGTACTGAATGTAATATGGAATATGTGGGTCCAATTTCAAATCCATTACATATACGTATAAATTTGCATAGATCTCAGCAATATAACTATTATAATTAGCTCACTAGGCTAAATTACAGTTGACACAATTTGTCTATTACTTAAGGCATTGACACTTAACTGAATATAGTTCGAACAATGTAATGGAAAAGCGTGACATTGTCAGCAACAAATCACATTCATTTAATTATATGTATATAATAGAATAGCAGTATAATTTTTTAAAACATTATTAAAATGTAACAGTTATCTAAATTGTAAGTTTTGCTTTCTTATGAAAGCTTGCTGATTAATGTTTAATACTTATTTCATATGCTTTTCACTTGGACTATGGTAAAACTGTTTAAATAAGCTAAAAGACTGAATATGGCAGTAAGCAGTAATATATGTTCATGGCATTTTAAACAGGCTTGCAGAAAAAATAAAAGTTCCATACTTTTGTGCTTCAAATATGCAGGTGCAAAACAATAATTCTGGAATCACAGTAAAAACAAAAAGATATATAGGAGAAAAAAACATTGAAATAACACTCAACAAATATAACAACACTAGGAATTCTGGAATAACAGGTATTCTGGGATGGGCACAGATGTGCAAAGAAATGGATCAGGCAGTGACGTGCACGGTGTATACATTCTGTACTTACGTAGAGGAACACATGAAGAATCCCCCATCGTAACGTTCATGTTCACATGGCACGAATATTTCCAAATCAGAAGAGAAAAGAGAAGTTAACAAAATTATGCAAACGTGGTCTTCTTATGTGGGTAACAAATCACCAAAGGATCACAAAAACAAGACATCAAAGTAATAACAACTTACTCATGCAAACAATAATAGTAATATACGTTTTACAGGATTTAAAATTCACTTGTACTGACTTCAGGCTACTTTTTGATACAAAAAGTCCTGAATAAAACAACCAAGATTATTTACAGAAATGGTCTAAAATATGATTTTAGTTAACGTGATTACTCATTTGAAACATCAAAAAGCCTTTGAATTAACAGCATAACATCTCATTCCATACAACACTTTTACTACACATTAAAAAAATTAAATATGAAGTAGCATTTCCAGCTTGCAAGATCATAATTGTATTCAGTTTGATTCCTTTTCATATCATAACATGATTTTGCTACAAAAGTAACATTATAAGCACAATTATATATCTTATTATATAGAAGACCTCACAAGCATTTTTGCTCAAACATTATAGTGTAAGTAACTTTTAATCTTGGAAAATCCAAGGTTCACAATACAATTACTGCTGACCTTATCATATTAAACATTTTGCTAGTAATGAAATGAATGGGTGAAGTAGATATAAATACATTTTATGATTGCAGAAGAAAAGATACTAATTATAATGCTTAATCAAACACAAATTGTTAAACTGCAACAGATAATTTGAATTTCAAGTGCTACACCACAAGCTATGTGAAAATATCAATATTAATAAACTTTTGAGGCCTCAAAGTATCCCCTTTCAGGTTCAAATCACTTTTTTCCAATTTTTAGTACTCTGAAAAACAATAACAAAATTCCAATGTTATGTTAGTCTAGCATTTGCCATCAGGTTTTACTGAAAATGTATAATCTGATTCAATACATCTAAAAAGAAAGATACTAGCATTTAATACATGCTAGTCTCACCTTATTTGAACTAAATATCCCAAATATTCCACCCCGTTTCTTTAATTTTCCAGCTGTAATGGTGCCTTTAATAGTTTCTGCTTTAAAAGAGGGCACTGAATGCAAACTTGTATTTCCTTCACTATTTTTAAGATTGCTGAGGTCTTCAAAAGGATAATCCTCTGGTGGAGAGAAGCCAGACTTGAACCTCTCAATGACTAGTCTCGAGTCCTTTAGAGAAATTGTAATTAATTTACTTTTAAACAAAAAATAAAGAAATAAATATATGGCCATAGCCTAGTAGCTTATGAAATAAACATACACACACACACACACATTAATTAAACAAATATAACCTACCATTAAACAAGAAAAGCATAACTACAATTATTGTTCTACACATTTCTCAATCTGTGGATTACTTTATGCTGTACACCAAAACATGGAAAGCAGGACTAATGAATGGATTACCATCACCTGGTTATTATTAATATAGATTAAGAACTGAATAATGATTCTGGTTTCATCTGTTGAAAGAGAAAAATATACAATTAATTGCAGTATTCTAAGTATATGTTTTCTGATACATAACAAAGACAATATTTACTACAATAAAATAATATTTAAAGCTGTGACTATGCTACTAATAAAATTGACTTAAAATTTTGTGAAATTAAAATGTTGGGATATAACTCATTTGATGATTTCCTTCACTTTTTACCCTATTATTTTTTTCAAGGTATTGCTTCTTATCCCTAATAAGATGCCCAAGAATGAAAAAAAGTACGATATTATTGTATTATACTGAAGTTAAAGAACTAAAGTTTATATTCATGAATACAACTGTTATTGAATTATGAAAGTAACACTATGTAAGTAAAAAAAATCAAAACAAATGTTAACATTTTCTTAAATCAAAAATGAATTTCCAATAATTTCTCAGACTTACAGCTATTAATTTTTGCCAGGGTTTCTTCCTTTGCCCATCTAAGCACTGGTCTGATTTTTTCTTGCTTGCTCTAGTCATTCATACCCCACTTAATTACCCTTGGTAATATTTGTCTCGTGACATTCTCCATCTACAGCTAGAATCTCACATTGATAAGGTGGAGAGGCCAGTGAGGGCATTATCCATACAGAAAGCGTCTGCAAAGATCATGGGTGCGTCAACAGAAGATTGGCATCCTAGTGGGGGAACTTGCATCCTACATCCAAAACAGGTATGCTCTTCACCCGGAACTTAACTTAAGGTACTGTGGGTGGAATTTTACACGATTTGTCATCACTACTGGCCAGGCCCCAACCAGATATCTGAGGTTTCACTACTCAGAGTTGGAATTACAAAGCAGGCCATGATCCCTATATCCCATGTTGGTGGTTAGGGCATTTGAACCGCAACGTATACGAGTATATCCCAACCTATAGCCATAGAGTGATGCATTCCAAGCCACCAGAATCATGGCAAGAAAGTAAGCAATACTGAAATGGACAAACCTTCTCTTCACCCTGAAGGAGTCCAAAAGGCAACACCTCAGGCTCGAAATGACGGGATCGTGTATGCCGTACTTAACCTGAGGAAACAGAACTCATCCGGTCTGGAATTATGAACAATCATCCTCACTCCCCCAACTGATTTATGGGGCACCTGGAATTATGGGGAGGATGTGGAACAAACTGTACTCAACCAAGGACCCAGGATGGGACCACACTGTGTTTTGAATTATGAGAACACAATGGACTCTCTACCATGACCAATGTAATGAACTAATATTAATTGATCAAAAAGAAGGGCCATGCTCAACCCAACCAGATAGCTGATCATCAAATCTGAACTGGTATTACAAGTAAGCTAGTGCCTCTCCTACCAACATCTGGGAAAAACATCCAGAGACTCGGGTAGGAGGCCCCCAACTTTGCCCTCTTCTCCAAGAGTGGTGGAATTCACTCTGACACTCTAGGAGAAAAGCTTTTGTCCACCACCCAGGTGACTGGAAACTGGGTGTGGGAAGGACTCCTTAGCTCCACTAGTAGAATCTGTGAGGTAATGCACATTAGGGAGTCCTGAGGAACAGTGCTCTGAAAAAAGTGCAATAGGTGAACCAAGTTCCTGAAATTTTTAAAAGCAAACCGATCTTGATTTATTCAATCCAATGATAGGCAGGGATGGGTAGGATCCCCTTATGCTTTACTCATGATAGTCCATGAGTGGTGATCCAACATAGTACAGTAATACCACCTGGTCTTATGGAACACCCCATTTCTACAGAGCCTGCTGTAATAACCTGTATAAGGTATATTGAATTAGTGGTTGCTAGTGCAGAATTGATTTGATAAAAGCACACATGCCCGGGCAATACCCACCACAGAGTGGGATCCTGTGAAAATAAGGTAAGGTACCCTAAAAAGTAGCAAAGAAAATACTCACCCCTCTGTATAATCTAGCAGAAGTGATTAAGATAGCTACAGGGGGTTGGTGAAAACCCTCGGATCAAGATACTACCAGATCATGCAAATAATGTGAGCTCAAAGTATTGGTGAAGTCCACATACCAGTCTGCACAATGTCCTCCAGCAGGCAATTCAACTGGGCTGTTATAAATCTGATTAGATGTGACTCGCAGAAGATTCCTCGCCTTTAAAGAGAGTCCAGAATAAAAAGTCATTGTCTAGCATCTCTTACGACATTAGTGCAGGCAACAAAACCTTCAAAACCCTCAAGAAATGTGACAATGATCGAAATCTGACCAGAAATAGAACTGAGGAATAGTGATCAGATGAATTAGTGAAAAGGATTTATCCCGTTACCTGTCTGACAGTGTCTTGGGTAAAAAGAACCAAGGACCCAAAGTGACTTGAGAAATCCGGAGAGTACTGGGGACTCAAAGAACATTTTGTCGTGAGTATCGAACAGTAGTTGATAAGGCCACCTTATACAGGATGATTGTGGAAGATGCTAAAACCCTTGACAAAGAGCCAGGTCAAAGAATGAGTTACAGTTGGCACTTCGAATTGAAATGGGTTCAACCTCCTCTCAATACACCATTTCCAATAGCCATGTCATTTCCACTGATGAAAGTTCACAATGGAACTAAGCAAAGACTGAGACAGATACATGGTAATCTTACAAATTAAACCCTGATGTAGTGCTAAAGAATGCATAACCTTTATGCCTGAAAATTGAGCTTTTGGATAGCCGGATGTATCATGTCAGATCATGGCTGTCTCCACATAGATGGCCTAAGAAGAAGAGAATGAGGTGGATATTCCTGAAGGTATCGTAGAAGCAGAAACCAGGGTGTAGCTGTCAACAGGACCCAACAGTAGGTTGAAACAAATCATATTCAGTACCCTGGGTAATATATGAATTGGAAGGAAGGCCTAGAGTTGTAATCCCATCCTATTCTGATGGAATGCATCCACTGCCAAAGCCTGAAAGAGAGGTACTGGAGACCAAATTGCCAGTAGTTGGGTGTTCCAATGAGAGCCAATCCAACAGATCCTTGTGATGCAGCATCTGTTCTGTTGGGAGAATCTGTTTGGGGTTGAGACAATTGATCTGCTACTGCAGGCATCAACTGTGGAACATGGAAAGCTAGTAGGATGATATGATAGGAGTAAACCCAGAAAGGAGGCCCAAGATTTAAAAACAAGGAGTCCTGAACCAAGTGTCTCCTTGATGAGAGACACAAGACACTACCATGGAATTGTCAGAGTGAAGCCTGACAATTTTCCCCTTAATAAGCCCAGACCATGAAGTATTGTCTTTTGAAGAGTAAGAGGATTAAAACATTGTGTATGGAAGCCTCTTTGTCCGTGCATAGACCCTGGAATTCCTGACTGTTAGTATATTCACCTCATCCCTGAAGCAAGGCATTCGTGAAAAGATGGAACTGTGGATGAGATAGCAGTAAAGGAACCCATATCTTAGTAGTGTCCCGATTTAACAATCTTTCGAGATCGAAGAATGATCCCAACTAAAAAAACTGGGGAATCCAGTGAGTCAATGTTTATAATCCCTTGGTCACATAAAGATCATTAAAAGAATCTCTTGTGCTCTCGTCCCAAAGGCATGAAAGGCTCAAGTGATGCCCACATTCCCAGAAGAGAAAGAACTATCCATGCAGTGGGAGAAGGAGAGGTGAGTAAGAGTTGGGCTTCCTGTTTCACAGCATGGAGCCGGATGGGAGTCAGCTGAGCCCAACTGAGAATTGAGATGAAAAATAAAAAAATACCCAGACTGATGACTTGATGGAGGACCTGATGAAATTTGAGATGCTAACAACAACAACAGAGATTAATATAAAAGCCAATAATTGAACCAATGTGCATGCTAACAATGTTCCAGCTCATCATCAATTAAGTTGGTGATCCTGAGACTCTTCCAATAAAGTGATAGGAAAACCAAATATTGTATTTTAAGAGTTGTAAGTCCATAGACTTACTCAGTCTCATCAAGGGACACTGATCTATTTAGGTTAACTACAAACCCTGCCTTTAAATCCCAAAATTCGAGGAGCAGATGTATTACTTCAGAGTCGGAAAATGCTTCCACCTGGTGGTGGTAGGCTAAACCACGAAGTTCCGACAACTGTGTCAGATTAAGGCATAACTGTCCCTTCACATAACTGAGAAGTAAACCTTCCAGCATGAATCCCAATGTCTTTGGATGGAGAGAAAACTAATTATTCACTCCCAGACCTTTCAGCCAAGTAAGGTGCAGGTTCAAAAGCAACTGAGGAAAGACCCAAAAACATCACACTCTTGATGAAACAACAGAAGAAAATAACTCAAAAGCAGCTTATCCCAAAGTGGGCTCCTTTTTGTTTTTATATGTCATTTAAAGACTGTGTTGATTGCCATTAATTGGAATAACATTTAGTCAGGTAGTTTGTTTTGTTAGAACAAAGGAATGCTGGGCTATCTGTTGTGTCCACTATAGGGAAACGAATCCTCGGATTCCAGCGTTGAAAATCTGTAAACTCAACATTGTCCCACAGGGGGACTGAAAAGCCAACAGACTAAGAGAAGGTGCAGGAGAAAGCAAATTTAAGTTCTCTCGAGAATGTAGAGGATCACCCTCAATTGCAGCATCGAGGAACACCAGAGAACTGAATATATGTCTTTGTCTCGCTACAAATAAGATCACTGACAGTCTCAACAGAGATGGCTGATGGTAAGCTAGGGCAAAAATAATTAAAGACTGTGTAGGATGAGGCATGCAAGTAATCAATCTCAAAAGAGAGACAAAAAAGATCATCATGAAACAAGGTTTTGAGAAGGGGAATATAAAGAGAAACGTGTTGAAAAAATAACTTAGATAGGCCTGCACACTGCAGTAGAGGTCTGGAAGAAACACGAAAATAAAATAGTCGATATAGTGGAAATGTTAAGGAATTGTATAGTGAAATAAACATATGGATGTGATGTTATGTGTTGAAGAAAAGATACTTAACCCAAACATCAATGAAACTGTAAGTAGAACCACAGGTGAACCAAATAAGAGATATTTATTAAGCCCAATTTAACAAGATATTTAACCTAATTATCAATTAACCCAGAAGTAAAACTACAGGTAAATCAAAAATAAACACTTGTGAAGCCTAATTGAACAATACATAACAAAGAATATCACTGAGCACTAAAAGAAAAACTTAACTGAACAATAAGTATGTACAATATCGGGATAAGCTTATGTGGACTCTGGCTCAAGAGTTGCACACAAACCAAGTGAATAGGAAGAGGATAAACGATAAATAATAACGAAAATGACATAGATGTGATTGTATAAAATTAATAAAGTGTGTAATAACAATAACCTATGTATGAGACATGATGTATGGAAGAAAAACAATATAGTGAAATTAATGAGACATACTAGTAAGATGAATTACAGATAATCCAAAATAACACAGACCATAGTAAGCCTAAGCAAATGGTATAGTAGAAAAAATACAACTAAGACTAATGGCTGACCTGAACTTGACTATGAGTATTAACCAATCTAACAAAATTTGTTATGGAACCCAAATAACGACAGATAATAACATTAACAATAAAAGTATACAAAAACCAAACCAGTATAACGTCTTATCTTTCCAAGGTTGTCGAATTTTATTTCAAATGTGTGGGCCCCCAAACTCAAGGCAAGGCCCAACAGAAGTCAGTTCATTGGACGATCAATCTTCCAATGAAGTAAAGCTGAAAAATCTTCCCATGGAGTATCATGACCTGAAGCCTGTGTATATGTGCTAATAGAATATATAATCTCAAAAGTGGTAACATAGAATTCATAATGTAAAATGAATAATTAAACACAATTGTGTTGGCAGAAACCATAAACAATAGAACACGAGTACTGTCAAACAAAAAGTGATAGTTCGATAGAATTGAATAGAGGGAGTCGCATGCATCAAGAGAGTATGTCACACTCTTATTGGTGGAGGGTTATCACATGATGATTTGCACGAGAGACTCATTGGAATCAGTCAATTCCAACTGAGACGATATAAAAGGCTTGTGGCATGCTTAAAAATTTTTTATGTATATAGACAGCAGAACTGAATGAGAATAACTATTTATGTGAGTGGAGGTAATGTACTTTATCGGAAAACCAGTTTTCTCCCATCCAAAATTTTAGTTACTAAGGGTAATACCAAGGTACCACTTACAACTATTCAACATCAAAAACAAAGGTTGTATTGAAATGAAAAAAAATCACATGAGCACTAGATAGAAAAATGAAATAAAAACTGGAAAAAAGTAAAAAAAAAACATTTATTTTTCTAAATATGAGACCCAAACTCATGCAGTTTTTAAATATTCTCACCTGCTTTGGATCTACAGTTTCTGAAGCCTTCACTATTCCATCAAGACATTTGTTTACAATAGGAAATACATGCCGCTGAATATCAGCAGATAGCTTAATAAAATTCTGGATGAAAGTTATTCTTCTTTCATCCATGTCTTGTAGTTGCTGAAAAGGAAAACATACACATAAAAAATACTTCTTAAAACTGGCAAAATAACTAAATACAAAAATGTTTTTATTGTGAAACATTCTAATTGTTTCATCAACTGGTACATGATCCAGAACCAAATGCCTAAAACGTTTTATTTTATCCATTTGGCATATGTACACATACAAGTATAACAAGAAAATCTGACAGGTTATAAATACATACTGACAATATAGATGCAATAGTCCCTTTCTGTGGATTCTGATCAAAAACAACAAAAAAAAACTGAATATTTATATATAGTGAGCTACAAACCTCTAGAACTATCAATTACACTAGCAAAAGAATTGAATGTTTATATGCATACTTTAAATGCACTACTTGTTTTTACCATATAGCTGAAAAATTCAAATTATGCATATTATCAAGATACTGCTCTTAAATAATGCATATCAAATTCTTATAACATTTCCCTCAAAATTACATATTAATTTTACTCAGATCAATTAAATATCAATTACACCCAAAAGTTACATAAAAGTGAACCTTAATAATTCTTGTATTCAAATCAGGTTCAAATAACCTTTTAACAAAATTCCATATATATATACTTGATTGCTGCTAAGTTCTATGACCCTTGTTTTTGATAGGGAACAAAAATTAGTTTATTATTATTATATATATAAGAAAGAGAGAGAGAGAAGTGAGAGAGTTTAGAGATTGTACCTTCATTTAGACCTGAGCAATGCAGTAGTCTAAAAATACTCAGACACTGAGCATAGAGTTTCATGCAAATAAATGCAGTAATGTTACTTATGGTGAAACACTGTTATTGCCTTTACTGTATTTTGACACAATACTAGGTATGTACTGGTATTTCCAATCTGAATAGCATCGTATGCAACACATGGGATAAGGAGCCAAAATAGAGACCCTTAGAATTCAGTTATAGCCATCCTAAAATTTGAACTACCAACCAATAAACAATGCCCATATCCTAAACAATACTGAGGATCTTTCTATAAATAATAATAATAAAATAGTTAGTATATTTTACCTGAAAAACTTTTGGTAATGTAGTAGAGTAATGCTGCCTTTGTAGTTCATTGGTTTTTTGAAGTTGATTTGCATATTCTGTCTTGCAATCTTCACAAGTCTGATTTTTCATTACTGAGAGTGTCCTTGCCTAGAAAATTCAGTTACAAAAATAATTATTCTAGCCAAGCAATTTTCTTACAGCATAAGTTAGCAAATTTTTTGTAATGTAAAAGAGACATGAAAAAAAACAAAAAAACCCACTGCAAAACAAAATGCAAATAAATTTAAATTACTGAAGTAGTAATTTATAGGACCTAACAATAAAGTTGACTGATAACAAAACTTAGTGCATTATTCATTAATTTCCAATAACTTTTGCAAATTACAGTCATTCAATGCCCTAAATGACATTATTCCTATATATAACTGGCAAGCTCAGTGTAGAAAGCTAATCTTTAAACTGCAGTCGTGGTTCCTTATATGGGTAAAAAAAAGTTCCAAGCATTTACAATGAAAGCACAGATAATAAAGCATAATAAAAAAGTTTGAAAAGTATACAAAATAAAGGTTAAGAATTCATCCTCAAGTAAAAATGTTTGTAAACTCAATAGTCATTCAGTAACAGTAAAAACTTGACATTACTTTCAATTACTTTTGACTAGCAGAGACCCCACAAACATCTGTGGTCCAATTACTATCTTTATTGCAACAGTACTTCTTTAAATACAGGCTTTATAGAACAATACCAAAAAATTTTAATTGCAGATACCAAAATCTAGAAGTCCACTTGTCTTAGGCCTAACATTAGTTAAGTCTGTATTAAATATGGCCTGTGTTTAATAAAGAGATAAGTTAACACTGTAACTTCTGTATTTTTTTGCTTTAGTTTAGTTAGGGCTAAACTTTACCAAAAAAAGGAAAGAGAGTGTGGCTATGAAAAATATCCATTGTTTAAAATACCACTTGTTATCTTATGATTTGTACACTTGAAGCAATGCAGATGTTAAATGTACCCTCCTGTGCTTCACCAAAGTGATCTGCTGTAACACATGGATGGAACTGTGTAAAATGTTTTGGTAATGTTATATAAATCAAAAGATTGAGTTTTTCATGTGAGTGACATTTACTGTGTGATACTAGTCAAACTGTTTCTGTTAACAACAGAAAAAAAAAAACTGACACTGCATGAATGTTGCCTGAAAAACCTTAGAACTGTTTTTGTCTTCCTGTCTAGCAAGCAAAATTTTAATGCAACCCTATTAGATACACAGAAGAAGCAAATGCTTTGACACATTACATCTATTATAATAATACTAAGTTTTTGTCTGTCTTGAAAATGTGCACACACCTTACTATCTAAATGCACATTCATGTACACTTCATTTCAACAGATATAAACAAAAAGTGGATGTAAATATACTTTAGTAGATATTTTGTACAACAACGTATTAAAAGCTTATGAAAGTTTTTCAGAACGTGTAGCTTTAGGTCATAGAATAACATTATAACTTTAATTATTGGTAGTATTAAGAACTTTTTGTTATATTTGAGCATCCATACCTATTTTCTGACTGAAGTGTTACTGTTTACTTATTATTAATTCTTCATTTGGCTGAAGCCTTTATCCAAGGCGTATGTTTAACTAATCAACATTTAAAAAAATGTCACTGATAATCAACTTCTATTTTAAAACTTTTTGTTATTGTTGAAGGTCTATAGTTATTTTCTAATTGAAGTGTTTAGGTTACTCTGTTCTGTTTTGCTGTTTATCTATTATTATGTTTATTAGGTATGTTTAATTAATCAACAATTTTATGTTAAAAAGATTGACTGTTTAACTGCTTGGAACAATAACTATTAAATGAAGATATTCTGTTTTGCTTCAGTGAGCTGTAATTCTTTTAACTGACTGTAACAGAGTGCTTTACAATGCATACTTATTGTATGTAGCTGTATGAATATTATATGTATCATAAAATACCTGCACATAAACAATGTGCAATTTTTACTTAAAATATAACAACATATTACTGTTTTATATAGTGTACTTTTAAACTATGTGTGAATTTTTTATATCATTTATACAAATTACCAGTAAAACAGAAAGGTTTCCAATCAAATACAAGTTCTTAATTATGGTGACATCACCAATAAATTATGCAAATTAGTAAAAATCAAAAGTTCAACCTTTGTTACAGCCCTAATATTAAGAATATTTAAATAAAATAATTGAGATAATGCTAGAAAAAATTAAATAACACACTGCATATTTACGTAGTGTATGTACATACATATATATATATCTTTATTTTGATACATATAATACAGGTTTAATCATAAACGATTGTAATTTTGGTTTTTAATTTGTAATTTTTCAAATACACTTAATACAAACTATACCGATAAACAATTCTTCATTAACTTTTATAATCTACTTTCTTTCAGAAAACAAAACATGCTTTCTCATATCCTCTATCAGATGGCAGAAATATTCATTATTTATCAGAGAAATGTTTAACTGGTATTATATGTATGCATCTATCTATCTATCTATATAGATAGATATATATATATATAGAGAGAGAGAGAGAGAGTGAAATAAATATTGTTCACAAAGCACACAGGCAAAATTTTGGTTATCAAAATCTTCAGCCTGTTTTTTTTTTGCAACATTGGATAGTGCTTGTAAATAATATAAATATGTACTTTTGTATTAAAATATTACCTTTTCAACCTCTGCTCTAGACAAGTTCAAGTCTGCATCTGCTTTTGAAAAATTTTCTTGTGCTTTCTCTGCTTCCCTAAAGGCTTTTTCATAGGCTTTCTTTGCCTGTTAAAAATGAATAATTATCAGAAAAAAGTAATGTTTCAATTAATCTTCATAAAAGTATAAAACCATTTAGAATAAAATCTGAAAACAATTCAGATGTTTGGATTTTTTCTCAATCTAGTCTGATTGCAAGTTCAAATCTGAAAAATGTGCTTCAAGTAGAACACAAGATCACAATAATAGTTTTTAGAAAATAAACTTAATTTCTCAACTCTTTTAACACTAAATTTGTAATTTAACCAGGCCAAAATTTCAAAAATGTGACGAATTTTCACATCTTCAGATTCAATAGTATAAATTTTTCACTTTAGATTCTTTGAAACAAGAAATATCACAGACAAAAATCAGTTCTGAGCTATGAAATTGAAAATAATGGTCAAAGAAAGGGCAAAAATACTGACATTTCTTATTCACACAAAGGAAGATATAATCCACAGCTATCATTCTAGCATATTTTTACTAACTTCAAAAATTTTCTAGATGTTACATATTTAAGATTTATATAAAGGCTGTGCCTAGTTAAGTTGTGATTTTAGGGTTAAAAAAAATTAACATATACAAAAGATTTTTTCTGTTTCCATAGAAGATTGATATGTAATTAAAAACATAATTATTCTTTCCGTCAGGAGAATCTTTTTTTACTTATATGTACAATTAACTAACATATGTTTTTAAAACTTTTCAGAGTGATAAATCTTATATCAGAAACTTAGTGATTATTTCTTAGATGAGTTATCCATCCTTATATGTATCTTGCTGGACTCATATAAACATGCTCCCACTTAGGTACCCTGTAATCACTTCAGGACATTTTTGTCAAGTCAGGTGGATGTTTGTTTCTGAATTTGATATATTCCTTACTTGAATTAATATGTTTGGTTCGTTTCACATTTCGCACAAAGCTACACGAGGGCTATCTGCACTAGCTGTCCGTAATTTGGCAGTATTAAAACTAGAGGAAAGGCAACTAGTCAACACCATCCACTGCTAACTTTTACCTACGAATAGTGGGATTGACCATCACTTATAATGCCTCCATGATTGAAAGGTCAAGCACGTTTGGTGTGATAAGAATTCAAACCCATAAATTGCAAGTCGAGTGCCCTAGCCACCAGGCCATGCCAACTTAATAGAACTGATATGATGGAATTTTTCTCCTCATTGGTACCATTTTAAACAACAATAAAAATAAATAATAACAAAACATCCAACGATAGCAGTAAATAACAGAAAAAATTGGTATGCTTTTTTTCATGTCTTTACTCAGAGCTAGATATCATACATTTTTTGTATCTTTGAAATTTATCATAACTGCTGCACCTTTATTAAAGAAATTACTTAATTTCTTGATGACAGGTAACATTATTTCACAGTTTTTTCAAGAAGACCACAAGCTGAAGATTGAAAACTACCCTACATTTATAATTTTCTTTATTTTAATTCAATCACACAGAAATTAGTGGCTGTGTTGGTCATCACAGTATCTGACAAGTGATAAATGCTAAAACTGATAATTTATAGTACTAAAGTTTGAACAATAAAACTTGCGTTCTCTAATTCATTTGGGAAAAGAGAAGAAGAAGAAGAAGAAGAAG